CCTATGCCCACTGTTCTGTCGCCTGCTGGCGAAAGTACGCGAAAAAGCAGCCGAAAAAAGAACCGTTCGATTTCATTCTCTAGCTTGGGAGAGCGACAGAGCGTATTCAAAACGGTAGCAGAGCGGTGTCAGTGGCAGCGCGAGGGCAGAGCTTCGGCAGTGGAATAGCCTGGCAGTAGCAGCGCCTGGGCAGAGCGGTAACAGTGGCAGAGCATAAGCAGCGCTAGGGCAGAGAGCCAGCAGCAGTAGCAGGCAAAAGTGTAAAAGCAAAAACGCAAAGACAATCCAAATGCAACAATAAGAAAAATGCCAAATCCGTAGGCAAATTAAAACGGGACAGAGCGACGCCCGACGGTTTTTGCATTTAGATTTTGGTTGGTCGTTTTTGTTATTGTTTTTGTTTAATTTTTTTTTGCATTTTAGGGTTGCGTTGCAGAGCACCCAGCAGCAGCCGTTCCTCCAGTATTTGTTTTTGTATTAGCGGTAGGAAAGAGTGGAAGAAGAAGAAATGAACGAAGACGAAGAAAAGTAGAAGGCCGTGGCTGAGAAATTCCGTGACGTGACGTTTCTGCGCTCCTCTGCAGTTTGGAGTCTGCTGCTGCTGCTGCCGCTGTTTGCGCCCGATACGAGAGAGAGAGGAGATAGAGAGGACCGTCAGCGATTCCCCTTGTCTATGCTTATTTGATACCTTTTTTTCCAACGATTTTGTGTGGTGTAACTCTCAATCTCTCTCTTTCTCTCCACCCCACCACACAACTTTCTGTACAGTATACAGGGTATTTCATGGTCGAGGCTTCAATTCTATAAGGTGGTTCGTGCTCCTTCTGTTCCCACTGCTGCCTTCTGTTTTTCCCCTTCATTTCACTTTCGTTCGCTCCCCGCGCTGCTGCTGCTCGTGACTTTGGTGTTGTTTTGCGGCCGCCATCTAAATGCCAATCCCTTGCACACACCACCCCGCCCCTGGCCATTCATTCACCCACTCACTCCTCAAGCAGTGTGTCTGGGTGTGTGTGTGTGTGTGTGTGTGTGTGTGCCGTCAAGCAGTGGTGTCGTGTCCTTCATCAGGATGCCAACAATATAAAGCCTATTTTCATTGTTTCCTCTTTGTCGACATCTTTCTCGTTCTGTTTCTCCCATTACTCCCTGTTCGCCTTGTCTCCCCTTTTCCCATTACATACTCCCTTTCTGCCACTCCCCCACTTCTCCCTTTTCAGAAACTTGAACAGCTGACAGGGCGACGACGTCAACGTTGTTGTTGTGCTTCGGCGCCTAGCCTATTGTTGTTGCTGTTGCATGACATGGGCCGTTAATTAAATTAAGTAAAAGTAGCAAAGTATGTTCCCGTACATTATTTAGTTAGGAACGTCTCCCACTCCCCACTCCCCACCCTCACTCTCTCTCTCTTTGGCTCTATTCTCCTTCGACTACTCTTTGGTATATTTTTTACCGCTCTCCTCGCGACCGAATGACTTTATCTGAGTGCCATGTGATAGGGCAGAGGGGGCGTAGCAAGGGAAGACCCATGGCTAACTAAATGTTGTTGTACCTCTCTCTCTCTCTCTCTCTCTTTCTATTTAGTTATTTTTCTTTCTTCTTTTTTCGTTTCTTCTATAGTTTTTCCTCGTTCTTTATCTTTCTTCTCTGTTTCGCAGTTTTTTTTTCTTTATCTCTCTCTCTCTCTTTCTGACTTTTTTTACTGCAATAACAATTGCTGACCGTGGAACGGAACGCATGTAAATATTTATCTTGAATATATTTATAACCATTTCTTTTTTTTGCACACCCTTTCCATACTTTTTTCGCGCGTACTAAAGTTTTGTATTTTTATAGAGACTGGAATACTCATCGTATTTTTATAAGGGCTGACAACACACACATACAATACATACATACATATATTTATGCACGTAAATAAAAAAGAACGCTACACTGAAAAAAATGGAGCTTCTGCATAAGATTGGTTGTTACAAAAATATTACTAAACCAAACCAGCTAAAAAACATATTCAAATATTATTTACAGAGCCTAAAAAATATCCAATTGTTCTTAAGGGCCTATAAAGGTGAATAAATGTATTTATTTAATAAGTAAAAATGTAATAAAAATAGTACATAGATAACATAATTTTAAAAAAGTTTAATAAACTAATTCATTTGAGAAAAAGTTTCAATCAAAAAGTGCCCTTTCCCAACTTGCCCAATCGTAAATATACGACACAATATTCGAAATTCCATCAGAATTTATTCATTCAGCATTTCGAAGACACAAAAAATAAAGTTTCCTTTGCTTAATTAAGGCATAAAGAAATCTCTAGATAATATCTCTTGAAATACTTTTTCGCTTGCGCGACGCGAGTCAGCGGCAATCATCAGTTGGGGTGGGCGGAAGAGAAAGGGAGATGAAATAGGCGCCTCCTTGCTATCAAGTAAAAAGAGAGAGACAAGAAAACTGTTGTAAAGTCAGAGGCAGTAAAAAGTACGAATACAGTTATGGGTTTATACTCTTGTTTGTGGATCATGGCCGAGGGGGTTTTTCCTACCAAAAGAAAAGCGATTTGCATTAAACGTTTAGTTGAGGCAGCAGTAGCAGCAGCAGCAGCAAAAAAGGAGAACCAGATGAAGCAGACAGAGAGATGAAGGCAAATCGATTAAGAGGCTTTTACCTCACTCTCTCTCCATCTCTCTTTCTCACTCTCTTTGCACGTGACACCAACAGACGGCTCATGGCACTACAACGGGGGAGTGCCGTACCGTGCCGTGCCATGCCGCCTAGAGGGTTAACAGTAGGTAGATGTGGCAGGCAGGCCATTGAGGTGGCAAGGGTGATTGGAGTGGAGTGGAGTGGAGTAGCTTGACGTGGAGAGAGCAAAATGCGCCACATGGCAAAACGGGGCATAATTGAGCCGTCTAACAAGCCCAATGACCGATTAAGCCAGCATGTCGACTGACCCATGGACGGACGGACGGAAGTTTAGTCCGGCAAAATGGGTGCCCGTGCCCCTGCCTCGACTTTGAGTTTGAGTTCCAGTTAATGTGGGGGTTAAGGTGAGGCCTCCAGAGCTCTCAAGGATGTGGATCAAGTTCTACTTTCGGGGGATTGGGGAATTACTTGAAGGATAGACTTACTTGTCTTACTTTATTGGAACATGAATCGATATTTGTCTTGGCAGAAAATATTACATATTCGTTTTAGAACCTTAGCAGGTATATAAAAGTTATTTATTTCATTATTATTATATTTAATGTAAGTTATAGTTCACGTATTATCGTTGAGATAATGTCTCTTTCATTTAATTAGAGTGCCATCCATTAACTTTGACTCTGTTCAGCAAAAACCACTCTAAGTATATTCTAGATATATCTAATATATTTTCCCTACATATCCATAATCATTAATCGAACACGTATTGATTTTTTTGGGGGAGTCGTCGCTGTCGTTTTTCGCTGGCGTCTCTCTTCTCTCTCTGCATTGGAACACGTCAACGCATTTTTTCACGCTTATCTCCAGATCGTTGGGTAAAATATGTGTATATAGAGCGGGGTGTAGGAGGTGTGTATGTACCTGTACCTGTGTCTGTATCTGTATCTACAATTTATCTGCCGGTTAAGGCTTATCTTATCAGGCAGAAGCCAGCACCTGAACCAGTGGTTGGGTGGTTCGGTGGGATGGCAACGAGCGAGCGGGCGAGCGGATGACGAACTTCAATTCAATTTCTTTTCAATTTCTTATTCCCCTGTCGCCTACCACCGGTCTCGCTCTCTCTTACACGCTCTGTCTATCTGTTCATTCCCTTACATTACATTACCCCTTTCCCGCTCTTTTCCTATTTTCCCTTTCCCCACTTTCCACTTTCCCCCTCTTTTCTTTTCCTTTTTTTGTTGAAAATTTGCCGCATTTTCCTACAAAAAGTGGCACCTCAGTGGATAGATTTTGTTGGAGTTTTTGGGTGGGAAATGTTTTTGGAGGGCTCTCTTCACATTTTTTGAGGGTTGTGGGGGGGTTCCGTAATGATGAGCGACGGTGTCGTGTTTTCATTAAGCTTCAAGATATTTAAATATGTTATAATAATAATAATAATAATAATACGTGTCTCTGTATGTGTATCCGCCCCATGGGGTGGCATTGAAAGGCGACGGGTGTTCGGGGTGGCATTGAAGGCGAGGGATGGTTAGAGGTGATTTTCTGGGGGTTTTCTTGGTTTGGTTGTGCGCTGTTTTGGTGCCTTGCAAAGGTGTGTGTGTGTGTGTGTGTGCCTGTGTGTGTGTGTCTTTGTCTTAGTCCTGTCCTCGTCCTTTGATCCTAATCACAGTCACAGCACAGGCAAGAGGACCAGATTTTTGGCATACTTCCCCGAATAATCCCCCGCACCAACCATAGCCATCCCCCACCCCACCCTCTTTTGCGTTTCTCGAGAGTTTGCTTTGCATTTTGCGGCTTGCTTGGAAAATGTTAATTTTCCTGCTAATGGGAGGGGGCTGTCAGAGGGATACATGTGGGCTGTATGTTTAAGGGCAAATTACTTTTCCGAGCTGAGATTTTTCGCACAGAGCCGCTAAAAAGAAAATTTTCTTTCTTTAAACGAAAGCAAAAATTTTCTACCACGAAATTTGTCGAAAAGTTTGTCTCAATTTTCATAACAATTATAATTATGGGAAATACTTTCTGTTTATTGCCTGGCAAAATGGTGAATTTGCACTTTAATGAACTAAATTATAGAATTTTTCGGCTGCTTAATTGGGCATTTCTTTTGAAAGGAGGAAACCCAAAAATGGTTAGAATTGAATTCCCATGAAATAGTTTAAGGAAAGAAATATACGAGTAACAGGGAACAGGAAAAGTTTAGTAATGAATTAATGCAAATTCCCTTGAACAAAATAACACATTATTTGGGGACCCTCACAGAATCGCTGATATTCTCCTCGGGAATTGGTGAACACAAGAAAACTGTTAAGCAATCGAATTGCAAATGGAAAATGGACAAAAATGAAATTAGCACTTACCAAATGCAGTACGGTATTCACAACCTCACGGTTGGTGACCTGCCCAACCTCGATGAGGCCGATGAGGACGGCGAATTTAAGATTGTCGGCGGTTGTCATTCTGACAATTTCGTCGGGCCGCTTGATCTCGCTGTACGGCGGACGCATGATGTCCGCCATTTTTGTCGATTGAAATTGATTCGATTTATCGTTTCGTGTTTTGATTGAATGGCGTAGTTATTGATATTAATATTCAATATTATTTTCAACGCATTGCCAGCGCGTTGCGGTTAATTTTTTTTTTTGTTTTTTTTTTTTATTTAAGTTTAGATTTCGATTTTTATTTTTCGCATAGATTGAGTTATAAAATTAATGGATGGAATGCACACGAATGGATACACGGCACACACACACGATGCACAGATATATAATACATATAATGCTATATATAGTATATATACCTATATATAGGACATATATTCAAAAACAATTTACGATATATTGCCAGGCAATTGGAGGGGAGACGAACAAAAAAATTAGTTGAAATTTTTTTCTTTATTAATTAAAAAATTTTTTTTTTTTTTGGCTTGATTTATGTCGTGATTTTGATTTTGCAAAAAAACTTTTCCAATTTATCAGGTTGCAGCACGTTGTGGCTGTCGCTGTCGCTGTCTTGCTGCCACTTCTTGGGGCACATATTGAGGGGGGAGCAACACCCACACACACTTCTCTCCGCCGCAAGCCTTTAAGCACTTCTCTCTCTGCGAATTCTCATTATTTTTACATTAATTTCTATTAACTTTTATATTTTTAATTGCACAACAGAGCGAAAAAGTTTCGTATTTGTTTCAAACTTGTTTTGCCTGTGGTTTTATATTTTGAATTTTTTGTTTTTGTTGGTGGATTTTTTTTGATGATATTTTTGTGGTGGTTGGTGGTGACATACACATACAAAAAAGGGGAGAAAGAGAAAAAGGTTTCATGAGTAAAATATGCAAGAAATTCAGATCAATTGGCGATCGATCTATGGGTAAGGGAGTGCAGTGCGTTTCAGAGCTGTGGAGCGGTAGGTGCAGGGTTTATTTCAGAGTTATATTATATTTTGTACTTATAAATGTTTTTAACTATTTTATATATGTATTTCTTGTTTCTTGTTTTTTTATATTTGCCAACCATAATCGATAATATTCGATGGCTACGATTTTTTAAATTAATTGATTAATAGACATTCGATAAGCCAATCGATTTGACTCTTAACTTTGATAAAGCATAGCTCCGACTGTCACTACAACTATGAAACACACTGTACGTATATGTACGTTTCTTTGTGAAATTAAAATCTATATGAAAATTAAATGAAATTCATATTTTAAATTCATTTTCTTGGTTTTCTTTTTTATCAGAACTCGCAAGTAAAGCATTCTAAATATTCGTTTGATCAAATGGAGGAAGGGACGTTCAGGGGGGATACCTTTACAGAGGGGGAAATACGTGTGCTCGATGGGGCATGAGAGGAAAGGAGCAGTCCCATTATTCATTCGGTTTTCATTCCTTGGGCCAAAGTGGAAAATTGTCTGGGGGAATTTATGTGCATTTATAATTTTTGCTGCTTTTACGAGTATTTCTGTATTTATTTTATTTTTGTTTTCTTTTTGTGGCTCATTTTTATGCATTATCTGTGTCTGTGTATCTTTGAGTGAACCGCACTGACTTTTTTGCCTGAACTTTTCTTCAGATCAGCAACAAAAGTTTACTGTTTTTACATTTATGTACATATATATTCCCATGACTCTGACTCATCTGTGGATCGATTTCGTTATGAAAGAGTAGTTCTGCGGCAAAAGGTTTTGCTCGGGGCTCTCTCGCCGTCACGCACCGGCGATAAGGCAGGGCCATTGGCCTCTGGAAAAGCCTGGGAAAACCTTTGAAAGAAACGCTAAAAGCAAAGCAAATATCGTGGCGGCACACACACACACCCAAGATTTTGTGTGATGGGAATTTTAATAAATTTATTAACACAGTGAGGACCAAAAGACCAAAAAAAAAGTGTTTCTTTCATTGGATTTTCCATCGCAAGAGTATGAAATATTTAAGAACTCTTTTGAGGGAAATTGCTCACTAGAATTTCGTTGTAAAGTGTCTAGGAACTTTTCTTGTAAGAAAGTCATTCACTTTGAAGTACATGCATATATGTATTTTTGGATAGAGAGCACTTCATACAACAAGTTTTCCTCATTAAGAAAAATCGTTTAAAAAGCTGACACACAAACTTTCTATAGATATTTTCACACCTACAGAGAAAATCAAAGTTTCCACTTGTTTTTTCCTTAATATTTTTTTAGCATATTTATGTGATATATTTTTACTCTAGTGGGAAAAGCGCAAAACTTATTTTGCCTTGATTTTCCTTTAAAAAAAACAACACCTTAGGCTTTTTTTTTTTTTTTATTGGTAAACCAATTTTGATTTAAACCTATTTGGTTTAGAGGAAAAAGTTTAAATTTTTAATCGAAATTTTTGCTAAAGCAGAATGAGTAATAACTCTCAAACGATCGATTTATGCTGATTTATATACTGCCTTAAGGGATATTTTTACGATCCATCCTGCAAACTTGTGGAACTATTTCTTTTCTATGATGTTCTTTGGATTCAATTTTTGTTTTTGTTTGCCTACAGATCGAGAAATTCTGTTCTATTGCTTCCATTCTTAGCTGTAGAGATTTCTTGTAATAAGCACTTGTACTTCCTGGAGGAAGGGGGGTTTCTCGCGAAGATCGACTTATGCAATGTTCACTGTATAAGGGGGGGCCGGCTTGAAGGTAGTAAATGCAATTCACATTCTCCAGCGCTTCTCCTTTTTATTCACAATTCACAATAAAAAAAAGGCCAGCAAGAGGGAGAGAGAGACCAACAAAAACAGTAGGTGAACAACAAACAAAAACAAAAAAAAAAATATATATATACATATATGCATACAAATATAAAAAAAAGAACACGACACTCGAAAAAGTGGAAGAGAAAAAAAAACCGGCGTGGCATACGTGGTTTACGCGGGGCAGTGACGGCTACGGCAACGGCAACGTTGGCAGAAGCAGCACAATGTTGGTAACTCGCGCTGCCAAGGTGTGTTAATATCAGGTGGAGGCACTCATTTTATATTTGTTTTGCCATTGACTCTATCTCTCTCTCTCTCTCTCTCTTTTTCTCTTATGCACTGAGTGTCTGCCACGGAATTAATAACAACAAAAATTTTGGAGACCCTGTGACTGGCTGCACCTTTAATTAACACATTATGCACTAGCCGGTTTTTTTTTTGTATTTTGTTGGTTATTACATTTTCGATTTCGTTGGATTTTCGCTAAGCAGAGTAAATCCAATCAGAGTACGTAATGAAAGATTCAAGCAGAGACGTAAGAACAGATCCAAGCAGAGACGTGAAAAATCAAATTAGAACATCTAATTTGCCGTCTAGCAGGTGTCTACAATTCTTGCGTTTTTCCTACGTGGAAAATACGCGTTTTAGCCGCTGCTGCCACTAGTTCGCACTCTTACCACGTTTTATTTTGTACCGCTAACCGCTATTGGCTAACCATTTAACAACCTGGCGCGCACTTTACTAATTGCACGTCAACAAATTCCAATTCGAATTTCGGTCGACTGCCACCAGTCGCTGCCGTTGACGTCGCCGTCAGCAGAGACAGAGAGAGAGAGAGAGAGCGGCTCTCCAGTTGGTAATGCTTGTTACGAAATACGAAATAAAGATGAAATTCAGAGAGAACGACAACAAGAGAGAGAGAGAGAAACTGATGATCGCGAAACGTTGAGAAGGAGCACAGTGCACCCTCCCCCGCCACCCTCAAGCACGTGTATTTCTACCTCACAACTCTCCTTCAGCCACTACGTTCTTATTCTCTGACTTTATCTGTTTGCGCTCTGTTTTCTGGCCAATGTTCCTACTCTCCGTTTTATCTGTTTGCTCGCCCTCTCTATCCCACTCTTCTGTGTTTTTTTTATCTGTTTGCCCTCTTCCTCTCAGTGTTTTTCTGTTTTGTTCTGCTTTTTAGTCGAACTTTTTGTTTGTTGTATTTCTTGGCGGCAGCGAGAGAGCCGCTGCTCTGCTTTTGGTGGTTGCTTTTACCGTTTTTGGTTAGGTTTTTAGTTGAATGCTGGTTCGCTGCTGATGGAGGGGGTAAGGTAACCAGTTTCAGATCTATGTGGGAGAGCGGGGTGGAGTATGACTGGGAGAGCGTAACCTGCAATTGCAGCAGGGTGTTCGTTTGGTGCACGGTGTGTGGTGGGGGGGGTTCCACTGTAATTATGAATTGCAAGCACACACGGTTTTTCCTTTGTTTTGGCCCTCGCTCTCCCGCTCTCTGGCTCCCTCATCATCACCGTCCCTCTCTCTCTCTCTCTCTCTCAGCTGGTTCCTTTATAAAGGGTCTCTCTGTACCCTCCCTCCACCAGTCCACTCCCTGCCTATAATTTTATCCTGCCTCTCACCAGTGCCAACCGCTCCCCTTCGGCACTCCCTTCCTTTGAGCATGGTTGGCCTTCCCCTCCCCTGCCCTTTGAGTGCGAAAAATCAATGAATTTGTCGCCCAAAACACACAGTGAGAGAGCGGCCAGGAGAGAGAGTCGAGTCACCAAGAGAGAATACTGTCCACGAGTTTGTTAACGTATTAGTCGGTCTTTCCCTTTCCACATTCAATCTTTCAACCATTTAGCACGTTCTACGCTATGTGAGCGCCTCTCTCTCTCTGCTGCTTGGTTTGCTCTCTGGTGCTGCTTACTCTCTATCGCTCTCTATCTCCAACTGCTCCGTTGCGGCTTTTTGTCAACCTGCTTCTTCTTATCTCTGCTGAATCTACTTCTCCTTGTGTCTCTCTCTCTCCTTCTACCGTCACACTCTGGGATATTTGTTTTATTGCACTATTTTCTTGGATTTTCATCATTCCTATTGGAACAAATACAACAGAAATTGAGTGCTAATTGGTAAGAAAAACAATCCATGCTCCAAATGGCATAAAAACCAAGCAGAATCATCAAAAAACGATGTCAACGTAAACGCACACGTAACACACAGAACAACAAAGAATGCGGTGGTAGCGAAGGACGCGGTGGGCCAGCAGGAGGAGGGAGGACAAAAACCGGCTGTAATTAATATTTACGTTTGCTTTTGTTGCTGTTGTCGTTGTGTACGCCTATTTTTTGATGCTTTTAAACAAGATCTTTTACCTAATTATTTTTTGTAAATTCATTTTTTGATTGTTGAAATATTTCACACATTTAATTTGTGTTTTTGTAAATTATTGTTGACATTTTTTGTTTTTGCTTTTATTTGTTTGTTTTTTGTTTTTTTTATATAGTAGTTATCAGTTGTTGTTGAACACGCAGTTTTTGTTGTTGTTTTAAAAGAAACACCACACACACGGAAAAAAAATGTAACAAAAAAGACAACAAAATGCCGGCGTATTGTCGCTTTACGTAGTACCGTAGTGCGTAACGGTCCGGGGGGGTGTTGGTAGGCTGGAGATGGCCGGTCCGTCGTACGACTCGCGGGCGGGGGACTAACGAAGGAATTGATTCATAAATAAACGGGAATAAACGTTCCGTTCCGTTCTCGTTCTCGTTCTCACGTAACAACAAGCACAACCATTTTCGTTAACGTTACGCTGCGCTGCGCCTCTTGTCGCCAACCTGCGTCGCTGCGTCCGGTAGCGGTATATATCGAATATTGATATATATTTATATTTTTTATTTTATATATTTTGGGTTATTTTTTTTTGTTGCAAAAATATCAATATGGATATTTTCGTGGGATTTATCAACGGACTTTTCTGAATTCAGAAAAAAATTCGACACTGTGTTGCCTTTTCCGCGGCACGTTCATTCATGTTCACGAGTTGGGGCGACATGTCCCGACATCTTTCATTCAAGCTTACGAGTTTTGGGGCGGCAAGGCCGTTATTTAAAATACGCCCGCCTTCAAAAGTTTCTGGTCCTTGAAAAGGTTTCTCGGCCACATGTGGCTAGAAAAGAGCGGCGGAGCTCATTTTTGCTATGAATGTGAGAGCGGGGCAACTTAGGGCCCTCTGTTCAAGGTATGTTAGAAGCCACTGTTAAGTTAACAGTTCTTGAGGCGTTAAATTCAAGATTTGTTAGTGTTTTTCATTCATTCCTTGTCCGGCCAAAAAATGTTTCATTCACGTTTCAAGCGCATTGGGGTGGGCCAGCAGGGTTTATTTCTCTTTAAAAATATATGTACCTTCAATTGTTGCAGGGCTTACTATGTATGCTGCTTGGCCACATGTGGTTAAAAAACGTATACATATATGTCTAAATGTTGCTGAGAACAAAATAAGGTAAGGACAACAGGTAAACAGAAATACAACGCTTGCAACCTAAGCTGGACCCCTTTCCTTAACATACCCTGCAGGCTTATGCAATGTACCCAAGGTGAGGTGTGGTTTTGTCATGCCCTTTATGTTGCTGAGTTTTCATTGTCCTTACCTGTCCTTAACATTCCGCTCCGCCTTGCTTCTCTCTTCACAGCTTTCTCTCGCTCTGTTAACGCTTTTCATGGTCGAGTTTTCTCTCTCGCCATAACAGCTGATTGGAAGGGACATTTTTTGGCAGCCCGCGAGTAGGACAGTTTTTCAAAAAACTGTTCGAAGTACAGCTCAAGTGTACCTCAAGAAGAATATCTGTTTCAAAACATAATTTTTTTGGAATCAACTGTATGTCAAAGCGATAAAGTATAAATACCAATTGGTTCTAACCGAAACTAATATTTAAATAAGCTTAGAATGCTTAGTTTTAGTGTATATACAATGTTTGTGTAAATAATTATATCTTCAAAAGTACTAATGTGTTTTTTTTTTTCAAATTTTCAGCTGCCGCCTTTTCTATGCAACGTTGCTCGCGTACTCCAGCAACAAATCCATGAGAGAGATGAAAGATGTGTGTAACATTTTGTCCATTTCAATTTATTCTTCGACTACAAAACTTTTTTATAAAAATCTTTTTAATTTTTAGTTCATTTTTGGGCACAATAAATATATATTATATATGTATATTGTGCGATGGGTTACTGTATAAATTAATGTAAATGTATACACAAATTTATAAAAAAAACAACAACAAAATAATATTATAAAAATATATGAAAAATAAATAATACCATACGATATATTTTTTTGGAATATTTCCAACATACTTTTTAGTCATGTCCGAGGCCTCAAATATCTTTTCGGGGCACTCAGCTCTTTGAGCTTCTTTCCCCCTTTCTAAGGCGCATTTTTATACCCGTACTCAAAAAGAGTTAAGGGGTATATTAGATTTGTGGTTAAAGTGGATGTGTGTAACGCAGAGAAGGAAACGTTCCCGACCCCATAAATATATATATTCTTGATAAGCATCAATAGCCGAGTCGATATAGGCATGTCTGTCTGTCTGTCCGTCCGTCTGACTTGTTTGTCGCCTAGATCTCAGAGACTATAAAAGCTAGAGCATAACAAATTTTGTATCCAGACTGCTGTGATATCACACTTCTACAAGTGTATTTCCAAATTTCGCACCGCCACCTTCCGCCCCACAAAGTACGAAAATCTGTGGCAGCCACAATTTGAAATATACGATAAAACTGAAAACGCAGTATCGTAGAGAATGACCATACCAGATAGCTTAATTTGAATTAAATCAGATCATTAAAAATTAATTTTCAGTTGCTTCCCCCACTACCCGCGTAACCTCTGCGCCCGACCCCTCAGAGATGTGGAATCTACATTGTGTATGTAGAATATAGATAATGTAGATAACATATGTAGTTAAAAAATTCTACATATGTATATCATCAGCTCACAAATGTATATATAAAAGTAGAGTCGCGTCGCGTCACAAGTTCCTTCCCGTTTCGGGTGTGGATGTGCACGGATGGCCCCACGGATACGACTGACCAATTCGATGTGTTTTGGCATTATCGTAGCTCGCTTGTCGAGAATGGAGCCACGAATAAAATATAGTGTTGCCCCCATAAAATAAATTTAGTTAACAATAATAGAGATTCTTACGATATATCGAAAATTACATCGAATACAGAAAGGGGTTCATGTTTGGTGTGAGCTCTAGTCTCTAAGAAAAGCTGACCGCAAAGATGTGGTCAGCGTGTGTGCTTACCATAGGTTAGGTTAGGTTAGGTTAACCCAGACGGCCCTCACGGGGCCACGCATAGGCCAATATGGCCCTTAGTTGTCCGGATGGGGGTGTATGAACCTTTCGAAAATATTTATGAGGTTTTGAAGACCTTAAGGATCGAGGTGTTTTTGGCAAAGGCTAGCAGTTCCCCTGGCGTCCTCTTGGAGGCACCTTCCAGTGATGCCAGTACCGGGGCGCCCAGGTATATTCTCCTAGCCCTTAAGAGAGCCGGGCAGATGAAGATGAGATGTTCCAGGGTTTCAGTTGCCCCGGATTCCTCGCATTTCCTGCAGTGGCCACTGTTGGTGATGCCTAGTTTGACAGCATGTGCCGCGGCCAGACAGGTTGATCACGTCGTGTGGACGATCCGTAGACTGAGCAGCCTCTGCCGCTTTCCGTATGGCGAAGACTTCCGCCTGGAATATGCTGCATTGGTCCGGTAGCTTATACACCGATAGAAAAAAGCCCTGAAATTTTAATATTTTCTATTAGATTTTAATATTTATGCCATTGATTTCCATCCAAGCACGGTTGTATTAAAATTGAATATTTTTCACTTAAATTTTGATATTAATATGGAAATATTTAAATTTAATATATTTGATATTTAAATTTAATATATTTCATATTTAAATTTAATATGTTTCATATTTAAATTTAATATTTTTCATTTTTAAATTTAATATGTTTCATATTTAAATTTAATATGGTTCATATTTAAATTTAATATGGTTCATATTTAAATTGAATATAGTTTATATTTGAATTAAATAGTTTACATATTTAATTTAAATATATTTCATATTTGAATCAAATATTTTACATATTAAAATTGAATAAATTTCATATTTATTTTAAATATTATTCATATTTAATATCAATATGATTCATATTTAATTTCAATATGATTTATATTTATTATTTGTTTTCATACATCCTAAATGTTTTTCCCACAAAAATAAAAATTTTCCATTTTACGTTTTATATTTGTTTAATTATTTATTACATATATGTACATGAGAATCTTAAAATTTATACATGTTATAAATTAAATAGTTTTTAGAGTTGCTTTGAGTATATAAATGCATCGGATATGTTGTAAATTCTGCAATATTAAAGAGTAGATTAGAATTCGATTTGTATCAATTTTGTCATTACAATGATCGTGCTGGATTTATGCTTGGCTTCGAAGTGCAGTCCCTTTTCTGGATATAAGAGGTCAAAGTCTACTTGAAACCTGAGAAAATTAAATAGAGAACAAATTATGCATAAAAATACAAATCAAAAAGCTAAAAAAAAACAAATTGTTTTTTCTAAGTAAGACTCTCACCAAATCTGGAGCTTAGCTTTCTGAATATTTTGGACATTGTTTTAGAAATTCTGTAGTGTCCAAATTCTGTAAGTTCTTACGACGCAAATCAAATGTTTGTGACCATTTTTCAACGACTACATTCCAATCTGAAATTAAAAATTAAAAAAAATGTAATTAAATTAAAAAGAACGAACAATTAAAATTAAATACAAAAATATGGATAAAACAAATAATTAAGCAATTATAAGCACTTACCATTAAACCAGCAGAAAACTAGTTCGAAGGAGAACTTTTTTGAATCCAAGATAAAACTTTTGAATTAGCGGACAATGTTTCGTCGTCAAAATTAAACTAAAGAACAAATAAGGAAAATAAATTAGCAAATTATAATTACTTATGTACATATATTATATTATAATATAATATAAAAACAAAAAAATAAGTGTACCTCTTTCTTTTTCCAAGCGAATAATTTCACTCTAAATTCAGCCCTTAAACCAATATTGGGGAGAGCATCACGAATATCATCAGCTGAGATATATTTTAAACTTCGATACGTTATTCCAGTTTCTAAAATTTTTAAAATATACAAAAAGTTTTTAATTCCAAATTGTACATGTGTTCACACTGTCAGCCAAACATTAAGTCAAGTCACTGCCTATTGCCAAAACTATATAATACCAAGATATTTCAACCGGATTAAATTCAAATTCAGCTTACAGTGGCTGTGAGTATTTTTCTTTGACGAGGAACCGCAAAAAAGCAAAAACAACTACATACAGTGGCTCCATAGTATAATCGGACACTTGTTTCCCCACTACAAGTATAAGTTTTTGTTTATGATTTAGATAGATAATACTTTAAAGTTAGAGTAGAAGTGAAAGAAAAAAATTGTTATCGCATTTCTGTACACTTTTTGAGCACAACAAGTGTCCGATTATGCGACGGAGCCACTGTACACACATTGCTTTGATTTTGCGAGTACACACATACACAACTACATGCATATTTCTGAGTCGAACTCGAGACAACCCAGAAATATGCATGTACTTCTTGTCTTTTTTGTCATCCATTTTCTGCTCGGTTCGTCGCTGGTAACGGAAATTTGACCACTTTTTCTGGCCAAAATTAATAACTCAAGAACGGAGCAAGATATTTCACTTCTGTTTTTTGCATCAGATTAAACGAACCAACATCTATTATAAATAGAAAAATAGAGGGCGTGGCACCGCCCCTTTTCTTTTTAAAACTCATTTAAGTTTTGTCATTTTTTTAGAGTACTACTCCCACAAGTAACAACCATTTTTGTGACAGTATTAGGTTATATTTGTTGGACAATAGTGGGCGTGGTACGCCTTTAACAAGGTAAAATATATTGGAGCCAAAGTATAGTCCTCCCGAGTATTTCTGATTGTAATTGGATTGCCCAGAGCTTCCATCAAAGCCCTAGCTTAAAATCAGTTCCGCCGATAAAAACTGTGTACCTTGATCTTTCATAATGTTCTCGACGATGTCAACTTGCAAATGAACGAGCCGAGTTGCTGTGTGAGCTAGAAGACTCTGCAGCGTTACTTCAGCTATTTTATCAATTACTGAAAAATCATCAGGTCGGCACATTTTTTTTTGGTCAGCAACCGTCTTGTATAATGGACATATATCGCATTCCTTTTTTTTTATTGGTCTCTGTTGAAATAATTTGCAGTAAACAAAACGTGAGTTGAATATTTAATCCGTGTATATCTTGTGCATCCTTTGGTTTCAGCCTTCCAGTAGTATATACATATATTAAACAGAATGTAAGGTTTCCTTTTATGTTTGTATTTATTCGTATTTTGTATTTTATTAGCACTGCGGTTGTCGTCAATAATATAAAAAATATAATTCTTTCTCAATACGTCCACACAGCTCAGAAATCAGAAGTAGAAGAGAACGATATTATACAAGTGTGACCGTATATCGATATTAAGAAAAAGACAAATTATTATTCATTAAGAATATGTTTTTGTTACTAATATCGATAACATTGAATATACTATATTCAATTTGATATTTTAACACACCTCCTCAAAAAATATTATATTCTTTATCACTGGTTACATATTTACGTTAAAACAATGCAGGCTATTATGGGAGTTAACATATAGTCCAGCATTTGCTGCGAGGATTAGGGAAAACCCATAAAAACCTAATCAAACCATTTCAAATTAAAATTACGTTAAACAATTATATCAGTTCAAAAATTAAGCAATAAAAAAAATATTTGTGTAGTCTCTCCATGAGATCAATTAAGTGTTTCATCTTCAGTTCATTAGACCCATTTGATTTCTCAGTTCAATGAATCGTGGTGCTGGCAATGTCTTCGTCAATAAGTCTGCGATTTGTTTATCTGTTGGAATATAAACAAGATTTATCAAATTCTTCTCAACTTGTTCCCTTGTAAAATGATATTTTATATCTATATGTTTGGAGCGTTTATGACATGAGGGGTTATTGGTAATACTTATGCAACCTTGGTTGTCTTCATATAACTTAATTGCTAGCAAGGATTTTAGCCAAATAGCCTCTCGAACAGCTTCAAACAAAGCCATATATTCTGCTTCTGTTGATGAAGCAGCTACAGAACTCTGTTTTCTTGTGTTCCAACAAATTACGTTAGATTCAAACATTTTGAATAGGTATCCAGTTGTGCTTCTTCTATCTAATTCACTCCCACCCCAGTCTGAATCTACATAGCCTATAAAATAATTATTTATTTGTACTGCTTTTTGAAAAGTTAATTTCAAATCAATTGTTCCTTTAAGGTACCTTAAAACTCTTTTTAAGCATTGCCAAAGTTCACTATTATTCTTTTCACAATAGCGACTTAAAAGATTTACAGAAGTGCTTAAGTCTGGTCTTGTACATAACATTACATACATTAAACATCCTATTAAATTTCGACAAGGAGCATCACACTTGTCATCTGAGTTTAACGCTATATGATTTAATTTACTTGGAAGAGGACAGTTTACTGGATTGCATTTATCCATATTAAATTTTAAAATTATATTTTGTATATATGCAACTTGACTTAAACTTATTTGACTATCATGTCTATCGACTTTGATTACTAAAAAAAATTTTATTTCCTTTAAATCAGTCATTCTAAATTGATTCATCAAATATGTTTTAAAATCATTCATAGTTTTTAAACTTTTAGTGGATATTACTAAATCATCTACGTATAAAAGAACATATATATTGGTAGTTATATCACCTTTATCAAGAAGGTAAATACAACGATCTACAGATGAATTTACAAAACCTATTTCCTTTAATGCATTCTCAAACATATCAAACCAACACCTTGCAGCTTGTTTGAGACCATATATTGCTTTTGTAGTTTACAGACTTGATTTTCTTTAGCTATTAGACCTTCAGGTATTTTCATGTATATCTCTGCTTTTAAAATACCATTCAAAAATGCTGTTTTTACATCCATGTGATGTACTTCAAGGTCATATTGATTAGAAAAAGACATAATTAATCTAAAACTTGTGATTCTTGCTACAGGAGCAAAAGTCTCATTATAATCAATTAAATATTCTTGCGTAAAGCCTCGGGCTACTAGTCTTGCTTTATATTTTATTGGCTCACCGAATTCATTCTGCTTAATTGTAAAAACCCATTTACAATCCACAATATTTTTGTTTTCAGGCTTTTGAACAATTGACCATGTTTTGTTTATTAAATGTGAGCTTAGTTCTTCTTTAACAGCTTCTTCCAGTGTTCTCTATCTTTATTATATTTTATCTCCTCAAATTTATTGGAAGTTGAATATAATAAAGTCTGTGCATTCATTACACAATTATTTATTAAATCTTGATAAGACACTTTTGGTTTCTCTTTTAACCTTTCACTTTTTTTAATATTTATCTGCGAGTCCAACATTACGTTATCATTACCTTCATTTGGTAAAATATCACCAGACACTTCTGGATCGGAATTCTCTAATATTGCTTCCACTCCACTAGGCTGTTCTTCTGACTTATCAGAATTTTCTTCCAAAGTTTCCAAGCTGAAACTTTCACCATCTTCATCATTAAGATGCATGGCATTTTCAACAACAGCTCTAGATTTACACATGTTTGTTTCGTCAACAATAACATCTCTTGCTATTACAAATTTTTCAGTTTCCACATTCCATACTCTATAACCATTTGATTCATAACCAACAAGTATACCTTTCCATGATTTTTCATCGAATTTTCTTTTCCTTATTTTAATATGGACATATACTGTTGAACCAAATACCTTTAAGTATTTCAAGCACGGCATTTTTTTGTGCCACATTTCGTATGGTGTCTTCATGCATTCTCTCAATGCATTACTTGGGCTCCTTTTTATTAGATAGGTAGCTGTCAGCACAGCTTCACCCCAGAAACTTTTCTGAAGGTCTGCCCCTATACTGAGGTGTATGTGGATTTGTCAAGTGGTAGCTGATGCCTTTTTCTACGCAAAATTCTCGCATTTCATTTGATAAATATTCTCGCCCATAATCTATGTATAAATTTACTACTTTCAAATTAAAATGTGCCTCAGCCTTTAAAATAAAATCTTTAAAAACAGCAAACACATCAGACTTGTAAGTTAATAAGTACGTAACACAGTAATGTGTATACTGGTCAATAAAAAAAACGTAGTAATTCTTTCTATCTACTGTTGTTGGTGAAATTGGACCACACACGTCCGAATGAATAACAAACAGTGGCCTATTTATGTGATCTTTATTTTTAAATTTTTCAAACTGGAGTCTTGCTTGTTTTCCTTTAATACAACTCTCACATAGCTCTTCACTGGGTTGAATATTGTTTAAAATATAAGAATCCTCAAATAAATTTTTATGTTTTATTTCTAGAAATTTGCCTTTGCTTATATGCCCCAACCTCTCATGCCATAAGCTATAATTTATTTTATTAGATGCAAATGCTTGCTTAGGTATTGTAAACCTAACAGACGGAACATTATCAAAATAATGTGCATTCATAATATTAATTTCTTCTTTACTTACAAGTACACCTCCTGGGTGGAATACAACAGTAAAGCCAGCATCTTGCATCTTCTTAACAGATATTAAATTTTGTGTGACTTCAGGACAAAATAATACATTTTGTAGAGCTATTGGGGTCATTGTATCAGTAATTAGGTTTATAGTTCCCATCTTTGTAGCAAGAATATATTCATTTGATTTTGCTACAGCAATATTAATTGGCGATTCAAGTGAATTGACGTTTGATAAAAGACTTTCATTATTAATTATATGATCTGATGCACCAGAATCTAATAAAAATGAAATTTCGTTATTGCTATTGTTATTATGACGCTTTAACATGAATGCGAACCCGGAATTGCGAACTGGTTCATTTTGGCCTTGTGCCATTTGCGCTTGTCTTTCTTGATTGTTTTCCATTTCTTTCTTGTATTTAAAGCAATCCTTTTTGATATGTCCAGTCTTGCCACAATGGTAACATTTTAATTTATTAAATTTGTTTTTAGACTTAAACTGAATTTTTTTTTGGAAATTTGTTTTATTTTGAAAATTATTAAATTTATTAACTTTATTCACTGCATGTAATACTTTAAGACTTGTGTCTTTTGAGGACTGTTTTAGTTTTATTTCGTGATCTAAAAGTCTATTTTTAACGAATGCTAAAGTCAAATTATTTTCTGCTAATGTTTCAATGGCAGTAATGACGCCATCATAAGAAGAAGGTAGAGACAGCAGTAAATGGCTCACCTTGTCCATTTCGTCCAGCTTTGCGCCAGATGCGATCAACTCTGTTATAAGGTAATCAAAAACTGTAAAATGGTTTACTAATACCATTTCGCCTTTTAATTTTAATGACAGCAATTGTTTTCTGAGAGACAATTGGCTGGCTAAACTTTTTCTCTCATAAATTTTATCTAAATTTGCAAATATTTCTTTAGCACTACATTCACTTGTGGCAAAACTCAAAAAGGAATCACTTAAATATTCAATTATTGTATTCTTGGCTGATATTTCAAGCTTTTTCCATACATCGGATGCACCATCACAAACTTCATCAATCACTTTTATGGTATCGTTTTCGCTCAATAATGCCCTTATGCGAAATTTCCAAATTGCGTACTTTTCCCCGTCGAATGGTTTAATATTTCTTTTTGCCTTTTCAATTCTGTTATTAACAAAAAAAAAAGAATATGAAATATTGTACTTATCTGAAATGGTAGGCTGGGCCCATAACCTGTTGAAATAATTTGCAGTAAACAAAACGTGAGTCGAATATTTAATCCGTGTATATCTTGTGCATCCTTTGGTTTCAGCCTTCCAGTAGTATATACATATATTAAACAGAATGTAAGGTTTCCTTTTATGTTTGTATTTATTCGTATTTTGTATTTTATTAGCACTGCGCTTGTCGTCAATAATATAAAAAATATAATTCTTTCTCAATACGTCCACACAGCTCAGAAATCAGAAGTAGAAGAGAACGATATTATACAAGTGTGACCGTATATCGATATTAAGAAAAAGACAAATTATTATTCATTAAGAATATAATGTTTTTGTTACTAATATCGATAACATTGAATATACTATATTCAATTTGATATTTTAACAGTCTCGTATAGCAAAGTATTGCTATTTGTAAAATTCTGGTCCTCAAGAAGAACTAATGCCTCATCAAGGGACACAGCTTCTGGCGTTTTGATCGGTACCATAATTGCTTTGCGCATGTATTTAGCTTTTTCGGGGCATATCGAAAGCAGCTTCAGAATACTGGAAAGATCTGCTTGCTTATTTTTTCGTGCAGCCAAGCTTACTGCATGAATAAGAAAACTTACATTTCCGTTTTCCAATTTTGCAAGATCTGCAGCGCGCCTTCTGCGAGATCTGTTCCCGTTCACATTATAAGCCAGTGTTGGCCGACCTACTGG